GGCCGCCAGCAGCGGAGCGTGGGCACTTAACCGCTAAGCCACGGGGCCGGCCCTAATGTACTTTAATTTTAAAGTTTCATTAGCATGTTACTTTCAAGGTATTTTTTCATATTGCCTACCTCCACATCCCATAAATTCATCACCCATCTTAATTTGCAGGACCTCTGCCTTCTTTTCCCTTTTTCGAATTTGAGAGTCATATGTACCCATCCCAGTCTTACAGAATCTCTCTCTCATTCTCATATTTTCTCAGAGACCACAGGGAAGCTGTCTGGCTGTTCTCACAGTCCCTCAGCACTCTGAGATGTAGTTTCTTTGAGCCAGGAGATTTGAATTCCTTTGGGTGGAGATGCATTCTTTCCCCAGTTCCTTCTCTTCCAGCTTCAGTTCCTTTAATCAATGCTTGGTCCACTCATTTTGCAAAGTATGACTTGGAAAGTTGAGCCTTCTCTCATCAGTCCCCCAACAGCATGAGTGTTTGGATTATCTCTTCCTTGCCTAATTGATCAACTCAAACATAATTGTAGACACCTGTGTTTTTGAACCTCCTTCTAAGGGATTTAAAATTCCATCTCCTTCCACAACACCTTTTAAAATTCTTTTAACCGTTCAAAGAGAAATCCCTCACCAGCAGATGGCTGGGAAACTAGTATGGATGATATCTTATTATTTAATGTTACATTGATTAGAAATAAAGGTTTTAAAAGAACTTTGTTTCGACAATAATTAAGTAGGTAGATGGATGGATAAAGTTCTTTAAAAGTCCATACATATCATTCTGGAATAAGACTCCCAGTGAAGCCATACTGGTTTTTTGGGGTACTGTCTTCTCATTTGTGATCTCAATGACAGATTCACTTTTTGAGGGCTTTGCAGCTCTCGGGAGGCATCATCCCTTTTGGAGTCATCCTAGTTCTTTCTGGAGTTTATGAAACCTGCCTTCCTACCAACAAGGGTTCCCTCTGGCTTATACAAAGCCTTCTGCTGCCTGTGAGTATGACCTGGCTGCGTTCTCCCAGGTTCCACACATCTCTCCTGTGTCCTCAGCCAGTTTCTCCTGGTGGACCAGTGTCTAGCTCAGCCTGGGGAGCACTTCCTCCATCCTTTCTGTCTTCTGGAGAACATAGCTGTCTAGAGGCAAGTCAGGAACTTGGAAGTTCTGCTGCTTAGCCAAGTAAAGGATTCGTTCACTGTCTAGAGAGCTGAAGTCCTCTGGCTTGGGTGCCCCTTTTGTGGTTTGCATCAAGAAATGTAAAATTCATTTCTTCTATCTGACCTGGCAGATCTCATCCAGACATTCTCCACACTTTTTCCACCTTGGACTTCGGGTTCAATACAAGTGTTTTCTTGCCATATAGCACTTTTCTGCTTCTCTTCCTGAAAGTTTTCGTTTTTTGAATAGCCACCCAGTATCCATCACAGGATTCCTTCCAATCCTGGTCCCATCTCAGCAAATCTCACTGATCCCTCTGAGATCTTGTGTACTCTCCTGAGTTAAGTTCACTTTGTGTGTGCTCTGCCCAGTGGCATACTGATACCTGCGATTGTAGTTGTCGTCTTTCCCTCCCCTTCTATCCCTCCCCTTGTTTCCTATTTACTCTCATGACTCTGCTGTTCTCATCACCCTGTCATACTTGAAGCCTGTCCGCCATGTTGTCTCAGTTTCATCTGAGTGTTCCCTCCCTACCACCATCACCTTTCTCTTTAAACCTTCTTGGTCGAGTCATCTAGTTTCCAGGGAGACATTCTCCCCATCCTTATGAGATGCGTGCTCCACCTAGCCCAGGAGCCTGCCCAGCCTTCAGGTCTCTTTAGCCGAGGCCAGAATTCAGACCCATTCTTGACACCACTAGTTGGCCAGCTCTCTTACTCACCACATCCACCCCTGTCTACAGAATTCCATCCACCATTAGCAGAAGCAATGAAGACACAACCCAGGTCCCCCAGGGTGGCCTCTGTCGCGCCTGTGATAGAACTGTCTAGATACTTCAGCCATGGAGCAATCTGGGTGTGCAAATGGATTCTCTAGTCCAACCCTCTGATTTGACAGATGAGGAAGCTGAGGCTTGGAGACATTAAGTGGCTTGTGCAGAGTTTGGTGAACTACCTAATGGTGTCAGATGGGCCACAGTTCAAGTTCTTGCTCTAACTCTTGCCAGCCCGGTGGCCTGGACATCTTGTTAGACTTTCATCCCATCACCAGCCCCAATGCCCTGGGCTTGTTTGCCACACTAGCCTGGTCCTGTCTCCTGCCTCCTCTCACTGCAAGAACAGGGCAAATAAATTGGAGTTTGGCTTTGATGGGAGCTGCATGAGTGAGGTTCTTGACAAGGCTATGTGTATAGAGGTTCTGATAACCTGCTGGTCACGTTACCATCCCTGAAAATGGTAGGTGAGGCTCACAATTAACCAGTTAATACTAATTTTGACTCTTCTCTGTATCTCTTTGATTTTTGACTCTGCTCAGCAGGGCAAATGATTTTTAGTAGCTCATAATCCAAAATGATTTTCTATTTTCTTTCTTTCTCTTCTTCCTCCTTCTCCTTCTTTGTTATTATGGAAAATTTTAGACACATATAAAATAGAAAGAATAGGATATTAAACCCCCTGTGTACCCACCACCAGCTTCAACAATGCTTAACTCTAGGCCGTTCTTGTTTCCTCTACACCACATCCACTCACCCCTCCCCCGTAAACTGGATTATTTTAAAACTAATCCCAGATATCATATCATCTGTAACTATTTCACTAGGTAGCACCAAAAGACTCTAAGGACTTTTTCTTAAATATAACTACAATACCATTATCACATGCAAAAAATTAACAATAATTTCCTAATATCCCATTTCTAGTCAGTGTTCAGATTTCCTTGACTGTCTCAGAAGTTTTTCAACAGTTGCCTTATTTGAATCAGGATCCACATAATGCCCACACACTGCATTTGTTGATTTGTCTCTTAAATTTCTTTTAGTCTATAGGTTTCCCTGTCTTTGATTTCTTTTCAGGCTGTTGTTGGTATTGAAGAAATCAGGCCTTTTTTTAAATATATGGAATGAATGTTTTTATAACACATTAATCTTGATTATGTCTTATTAAACCAGTATAAAATTACCAAAGATACTAGGAATCAGTGTTAGCCACCATTGATTGGGTGAAACATTGGTCCTAGCATCCTTATCCCTGTCTCTCCTTGCACCCTGGGCCCCTGTGAATCCCTAGAGCCTTTCAGTGAGGGGCACAATGGAGAATCTTCTGCAGTGTTGGAGCATCTTTTCATATCTTAAGTTTATGGTCAGCACCTCTTCCCTTCCTTACCTCTGCATTCCCTCTAACACGAAGGACATGCCAACAAAAACAGTTAGGAGGTCAGCAAAGGGAGAAACGGATGAGGGCAAGAGAAAGCTGGGACTCCGAGACTGTTGACTCTCTGAGGAAGGGTCCAAGGTCAGAGGAGAAGGGGCCAGCCGAGGCAGCACCTGCTCCCTCCTCCCTCAGACCAAGGGGCAAGTGTCCACCGTGCTGCCTTAGCTGGGGTCCCTCCCACAGTGATCTGGCCCGTCCTTCCTCTTCCTGCGGTGTTTGGGGAGGCCCCCGTGCGTTTGTAGAATGGCCTTTTGATCTTCGAAGGGGGTGTTAGTCTTCACTTTGAGCTTCAGCCTGTGTTTCCTGAGCGTGTCACAGACCATGAAATACACAAACTCTTTTACTTTTAACTCCCCACTACCTCTTGTTTTTTAACCACGGTATTATGGGAAACATTTGCCATTTCAAATTTGAAGTGTGGCAGCTTTGGGGAAATTACTTTTATAAACTCCCTGGATTTTTAAAAACTATCTATGAACCACCCAGTCCCCTCTCTTGCCATCTAGAATATGAAACCGATGGATTCTTTGTGGGAATAGTGACACCCAGATTCATTCCCAGTATGGAGTCAGGCCTCGAGACTCAGAAACCTGCAAGATGAAGGTTAGCGTGGACTCCGTGGGAGCTGCGTTTGGGTTCACACTCAAGGGAGGAAAGCACGGAGTTGGGTGGGGGTGCTGCTGAGTGGAGTGGGGGAATTAGCGCATCGGTGTTTGTTCACTTGACATGAGGGCAGGGAGGTCGGCCGCAGAGGCTCTAGAGAAGGCTGGCAGTGCTGTCTACTCCCGCCACACGGGGTGGCAGGCCTGGCCCAGACCTCAGCTGCACTCACTGTTCTAGTGTGACCCAGGACTAGTCCCTTGACCTCTCTGAGTCCTTGGTCTCCTGATCTGGACACGGGGATAATATTACCTACCGAGTGCCACTGCTGGGGGGTCATGGTGACCTCACATCAGGCAGGCCTAGCTCATGCCAGCCATACACACTAGCTCTAGAGGCAGAAAGACTCAGGACGGACCAGCCCCTCCAACTGGGCCCAGAAGGGTGGATCGCCTCTCTACTTCTCCTTCCATTTCCTTGCCCCTTAAATGTTCTAGGGCTAATCGAAAGAAAGCTCAAGTTGTATGATTTCCCTTTGCCTGTCAAACAGCAACAAAAGAAGTTTTTTAGGTTTTCCCCTGCACTGTACCTCTGCACACCCACCCTTCCCCCACACCCTCCTGTTACTAAGCCAGAAAAGCTTGCTTGCAGGGTAGGAAGCCGAGTAGAGAAGGTGTTCAAATGACAGTTGAAGCTGATTTTGGCACTGGTAGGTTCTAGCAGGGTCTGTGATGATGAGAAGGCGGTGGAAGAGGGTGTCAGGAGTGTCACCAACGAAACCTCTGGCCTTAGAGAGGTTTCTCGATGGGGTCTCACGTTCAGCAGCGCTGTTATGGTGTCTCCATAAGGTCTCTACCTATAGATAGGTACTCAGATAGTCAAGTACCTACACATCAAAGCCCCCTGTCCCAGCGGAGGGAGTTCATATCCTCCAGGCAAGCTCCTTCTCCAGGGGCAAGAGCCTCACCTCCCGGCCTGTGCCAGCCGCGTCCCCTCTGGGACGCAGCCCCTCTCACTCTGGCTCGTGGTTCTTTCAGGGCCCAGGAAACCTTCATGCAGTGGGATCAGTGCCGGCGCTTCTACAACTTCCTCATGGCTGACAACATGAAGAAGATCATCCTCTCGCACAGGTGCGTCGCCTTCCCTTCTCTCAGAAGACAGTTCCTGTCTGAGCTTATTTCAGTCACTTAAAAAAGCCAGAACTCCTGTTGCTTCAGGAGAAAAAAAAAAGAAGGGCAAGGTGGTGCAGATTCCATGCTGACCGCTTTGTTATTTGCTTAGAAAACAAACTTGTCCCAAGCTACCAAATTCATACATGGCTTGGCTTTCTGCTTTCATCGTTCCCAACAAATCCAAGGCGAGAAACCAGTTCTACCCCATTCTTTCCCAAATTAGAGCAGTCCTGGGGGTGGCTTGTCATTGCTCAGGAGCCTTTCTCCGTAGGCTGCTTTTGCACTTGGGCGTGTTGGGGTTGTGACCAAGCAGCAGTGTCACAGGAGCCCAGCCGCTGGTGCAAAGCGTAGGATCCGCAGATTCACCAGGCTCGTCCTGCCTCTCTCCTCAGGATCCTTGGGTGGGTTGGCCCCTGACAAGTGCTTAGAGCAGTGCCTGGTGTGCTGTCGCTCCCAGTAAATACCAGCGATGATTTCATCACCTTGATTATCATTATCCATGTCCTCTCTCCCTCCTCCCCACATCGTCCCCGGCCCTCCAGCTGGACTGGGCCACTTAGAGCCCTCTGGCCTCTCCCACACACCGTGCCCTTGCCGAGAATGCCCTTCCCATCATCTCTGCTTGTCTAAACCCAGCCCATCCTTTCAGGTCCATCTCAGTCCTCCTTGTCCCTGAAGCCAACTCCTCCACCTCCAGCTGTTTCTCCGTTGCTTCCCTGGTGTGAATCCTGTGTCTTGAACTCAACTGTCAAGCACTGCAGGGCTTGGGCTTGTTTTGATTTCCCCCCCGGAGCCTGGCACATAATCAAAAATACAGTTTTGGGGGGGGTTGATGCCATCCTAGGAAAGGCAGTCGACTGAATGATCAGTTTCTTATTCTCTTTCTTTCATTGGTTAAAAGAAAATGTGGTACTGCTGGGCCAGACCATGCACCCCAGATCGGGCTTCCTGTGGGCGGGGTTCACATGGCGCCTAGGGAGGGCTGGTGCTGCCAGGCTGCCAGGCACGTCCTCAGGTCCTCGTGTCAGGTGGGTGGAGGACGGAGAGAGACTTATGTCCCCCATGCTGGCTGGACATAAATTGTTTCCATTCAGCTCGTGGTGTTTGAGCATCAGTTGTCTGCGGGGCCCTGAGTCTGATATGGCTCAGCTGAGGTTTCAAAAGGGGTGAAGTAAGGCCTCTGACACTGAGTCCCCGTCCTCTGTCTGCCTTTCCACACCTCTGGAAGGAAAAGTGACTCCTCCCGGGGAACGTTTGTTTGTTACAGGGCCCAGTCTTGCCACTAATTAATTAGTCCAGAAGGTCCCTCATGTAATTCTTTTTTTTTTTTTTTTTTTTTTTTTTTTGTGAGGAGGATCAGCCCTGAGCTAACATCCATGCTAATCCTCCTCTTTTTGCTGAGGAAGACCAGCTCTGAGCTAACATCTATTGCCAATCCTCCTTCTTTTCTTTTCCCCCCAAAGCCCCAGTAGATAGTTGTATGTCATAGCTGCACATCCTTCTAGTTGCTGTATGTGGGACGCCACCTCAGCATGGCTGGAGAAGCGGTGCGTCGGTGCGCGCCCGGGATCCTAACCCAGGCCGCCAGTAGCAGAGCGCGCGCACTTAACCGCTAAGCCACGGGGCCAGCCCCCCATCGTGTAATTCTTAAAAATCGGGAGCATCTTTGGATGTGCTTTACGTGTATTTACATTTTTTGAATTTACCACAGAAAGCCAAACATCTAGAAAGTTTAGGGATAAGATTTTTTTTTCATCAGCATTGTCCTTTTTTTTTTAAATTTTTTTTTCCCAATTTTATTGAGCTATAACTGACATACAGCACTGTGTGATGAAGACGCTTTAAATTGTAAGTTCTGTCTCATAGGTATATAATCTTCCTAATAATTGTTTGAAAAAAAAATAAATGCTAAAGAAATATGTTCCTCTTCTTAGGGCAAGGTTGTGAATGGATCCCAGAACACTTAGTTTCCATGATGACTTTTTCCCGCTGTAGGGCCAAAAAGCAAACCCAGTCCTCCTTCAGCTGTGTGACTGAGAGCCCTGGCTGGGAATGGAAGACTGAACGCACACATTTTCATGTCTACCTTTATTGTCATCCTCCCGAGATGGATCTTTTTCTTAACAGAAATGATGACTCTTCTGAGTATACGTTAGCTTTTTAGCCAACACGTTGGAGAACCCTCAATTTGCCCAAATGCTAAATGGGTTAAGCGACAGAAACAGCTCATAGAGGGAAAGAAGTTCTGCCAAAGGGAGAAGGGCCAACACCAGTGTAAAGACAAGGTCCCCACAGCTTTAGATTGAGGCCCCTCACTGTTTGGCCGACCACCTCCCACTCACCACAGAGGCCTCCTGAGGCCTCCTCCCCTGCAGTGAAAGTTTTGTGATATTTACCTAGGCTCGAACCCAATCTTTAGTTTGTCTAGCTGCCCCTGAAAAGGAAAATAAGGTCTTGACATTCATCTTTCTTCAGTTATTCAAAAGCCAACAGTGCAGCTCATCCTCTGTGACATTCTGAAGGCTGACGGGATCTATTTCTAACTTACCCACATGTGCTCTGTCAGAGACTGTCTCCTGGCTGCCTCTGGGCAGGGAGGCAGGCTCGGCTGTGGTTGTTTATTGTCTGCTTTTTAAATTTAAAAATCTTTTTTCAGCCTTATTGAGGTATAACTGACAAATAAAATTGTAAGATAGTTCATGGGTACAATGTGGTGATTTGGTTTATCGTCTGCTTTTTATTCTCTGTTTACTTCGTGTCTTGTTCTAGGCAAGCTCTTTTTGGAGACCATGTGAAGAAACCCCAGATCCTGGAGGACACGGACCTGAGCCGCCTCTACACGGCCACATCCCTGATGCAGATCGACGACAATGTGATGAGGTGTGCCCGCACTGCAGGGCTGGTGCCTGGCAGGAGGCCCCAGGCCAGCTGCCCAGCACGAGGGTTTGCCTCCACCCACTTTAGTGTTAGGGGTTCTTTTCCTTTGAATAAATGTCCAGTGTTTAAAAACTTGAATATTTCATAGAAAAATCCAAATTTCTAGTTTCTCTTGGAAAATAGGAAGACATGACATAACTGAGCTTGAACTGGGGGGCTGGAGTGTACACGACCTAGTTGTCTACAGTCCTCACCCTACCTGTTGTGGCTCAACAGTGTCAGGTGCCACATAACCTACATCTGCAGTGGAGTACAGGAAAAGGAAGTATTTCTTATACCTATGCCTCTATCAAAGTGAAAAACAGAAAATAGACCAACAGGGCTGTGTGTGGCGGGAGAAATGGACAGAGAGCCTCTTTCTTTGGGGGCGTGAAGACTTTCCTCTGAGTGGAATATGCAAACCCCACCCACTTCACTTTTTACCCTTTACCTGCCCAGCCCCTCCAGGCCCCTGCGGTCAAGACACCGACAGTGTCATCTTTCCTGATACTGATAGTTTCTGATTGAGGTTAGCCTTATTTGGAAGGGTAAAGTTGATCTCTGAACTTGTTCTCTTTAAAAACATCATCCTTTTTATTTAATGATCATTTGACACCGTTAGGCATGGTCTAAAACAAGCTGGTGTTCATCCATAGGTAGGCAGATATTGACCTGAGTATAGGATCTATACTTACCTTCCTTATGTGATGTTCGTGTCTTTGTTACACCAAATAACTTTGAAATATGCCTGCTAACAATTACTCAAAGGAAATAGAAACTAGGAAATTGCTGGTATGCTCAGAAGGTGAGAATAAATTTTATCCAGCCTCCCTTAAGCTGGAGTGTGTGACTTTATTGTGGTGTCTAAGGAGGAAAAAAACCAAACATTTAAATTTACCATTCATCTTCTCAATCTTTTTAAGCCTAAAAGAAAGTTCTGCAGCTCTCCCTGAAGCTCTCCCCTTTCCACAGTGTTGGAGAGGAGCAGTTTTCGTGGTTGCCACATTGGGCAAGCCTCCCCATAACCCCGGCACCAGTGATCCTGGAGGACCGCGGTGCTTTCCTGGTGGCCAAGGCCGCAAAGGGGCTGATTTCATGAAGACGAGTGTCCCAGAGATGGTCTCTGCCCTCGGCCTCCTCCCTGTCAAGGGGCCCTAATGGTCCGGCCTGAGCTCTCTGGGTCCTTCCCAGTGAGACATGTCCCCGGGGCCTGGTAGTGGAAGGGATCCACAGCTTCAGGGGAGGCGGGGTACCTTGAAGACGCCAGTCAGAATAGAAAAAAAACCCCATCCATCAGAAACCAGAGGTCCTAATCTGTGTCAGAAAGAAATAAGGTTTTCAGAGATCCTCTGGTCTGGGGTGGACTCGGCCTGCTGGGATCAGAGCCCCGAATGGAACTGTGCGAGGCCTCTCAGAGCACAGGGCAGAGCCAACCTGCAGGACTTTCGTGCTGGAGCACTGAAGGTTTTGTTAAATTTCAGTTTATCCCTGACTACTGCCCTGTGCATGGACAGAATTGGTAACTTTGAATCACTGTCTCATTTCTATTATCCAATACATATTTCATTCCAATTCACAGTAGTCCAGGCTACTCTGCCAGGAAGAATTCTGTTGAAAAGAAAGTTGTAGTAAATGCCTTTGAATTTCAGTTTCTTAGCGTCTACAGTGACATCTAGTTTTATACTGCCTCAAAAGACATAACTTGTGCTAATAATTACTATAGTAACACTTACTGAGTAATTACTCTGGGTCAGTCACTGTGCTAGTACACACTTTAATGTCATAAATCACACAGTGCTATCAAGGGAGGTCCTTCCTTAGTTCCATTTTACAGAGGAGAAGCTCAGAGAGGTTAAACATTGTGCCTAAGGTCACACAGCCAGTAAGTAACAGAGTCAGGATTTGAACCCAGATGCCAAAGCCAGTGCTCTTAACCCCTAACTCTGGTGCCTGTGTATGTTCTACTGATATGACGAGTTAGTGTGGGAACTGGAGCAGTGATAAAATCAACACAGCATTCTGATCTTATGACAAGTATTGTTTTGTCCTTTTCCTTGTGTGTGTGTGTGTGTGTGTCCCAGGAAGTTCCATGGCTATAACTCCCTGAAGGAATATTATGAGGAAGAAAGCTGCATGAGGTACCTGCACAGGGTGAGTGGCAGCACCGACTCAGAGGCAGCAGCATCTCAGAATTAGTGTCCCTCCATCCAGCTTCACGCATGGGATCACAAGCATCCTCCTAGACTCCGCTGGTGGAAGTTCAGCCAGAATCTGGCTCGAACTACTCTAGTTGTTGACCTGGGTTTATTACTGAACCAAACTCTATCCCCCGTGACCTCCATGTATTAATCCTAGAGCTGCCTGCAGGACCAGGCTGCTCCTGTGTCTGTGTAAAAGCCCTTAAAATTGCTGCAACACCTATTTTCTTAGTCCTCCTTTGACAGTATAATCCTCCCTGGTTCCTGCCATGCTTCCTCATAGGAGCTCCATGTAGATTTCTTACAATCCTGGACCCTTTTTTGGCTATTGTGTATTTTGTTAGTGTGGTGCCTAGGACTAAACTCAGAATTCCTGCCATGATCTGGCGAGAACAGAGTAAAATAGATGTATTTCTGTATCAAAATGATGAGGAACATGTCTGTTGACAAGGTAGACTGGTTTACATGAGTGGAGTTTTTAGCAGCTACAGTAAACTTTATGTGTATTAAATTAAGTTTGTGGCCAACCATCACCCCCATATGTTTTTTACCTGAACCACCACCAAACCAGTCTCCCTCATTCTGTCTTTGCACAATTGCTCTTTTTACTCAAACACAGGACTTCCCACTTATCCTTGTCAATGTCCACCTGTGGGTTTGGCCCACCACTCCCCCAGCTAGAGCAGATAATTACGAATTGCAGTTCTGCCATCTGGCTCATAGGCCACCCCTCCCAGTTTAGCATCATCACCCAGGCTTTTGGTGTCTTCATTTAAGCCATTACAGAATCGTCGAGCTGTCTAGAGCCAATGTCAGAGACTTCCAGATTAGCACAACCAGTCATTACACTACCTGGGCATGGCTGTTTGGTAATATCTGAGTTTCCCTATCAGCACCATCTCCACCAAAATGAAAAAGGAGACTATTGGCTGTTTTGCTAAAATGAATGTTGAATGCAGCCCTGCTAAGAGCTTCCCGATATCCACCAGCCTACTCCTGTTTTCAACGTTCAGATTCCTCTAGAAAGGCTCCCTTCTCTGGAGTGGAACACATTCCATTTTTTCTCCCCACTATATAAACTGAATGAATATGTACATGACTCTTTGTAAAGTTGTTTTTCTGAAAGGTATGGCTAATCTGAAACACTGTGAGGATCATCAGAATTATTTTGCCAGTGAGCCCCGTTGCATACTTACTGTCGCTCCATCAGAGGCTGTGGGTCACCCAGGACATGGGAACCTTGCTCCCACACAGACCTGCCAGGGCTGTAATCACAGCGGCAGTTATAATTCATGCTACTGCCAGAGAGTACGAGGCGACCTTAATCCACCTGTTCAGCAAACTGAGCAGTGACCCTCTTCCTTTTGCTTCAAAGACGTGTCCAGTAATGAATTTGAGCCTTGAATCAATGGGGTTGAACAAAGGGAATCGATACTTTAATTCTATTTTATTTTCTTATTGCAGATTTATGTGCCTCTCATGCTGGTTAATGCAGCTGATGACCCCTTGGTGCATGAAAGCCTTCTAACCATTCCAAAATCTCTTTCAGGTAAGTGTTTCTTCCTGCTGCTCCCTCACCCCCTCAGCACATTGCCATAGTAAATTCTGTCTCCTTCACCCTGCTGTCCTCTCCTGGAGACCAGCTTCTGTGGGAAGGATGTCTCGTGGCAGTGTTCTTATTCAGCCTAGCCTGATAGTCCTGGGGCTGTGAGGGGGCCTGGGTAGAGCCTTCTCGTGTTCCATCCTGGTGCAAAAGACAGGACCATCATTTATATTCATAGCCAAGAGGGGCTTGGGGGAGTCCCCTGGTGTTCTGTGAAATTATTGTCTCAGGGCTATGGTTCCATTAAGTCTGAGATATTTAGACTTAAAACCTGACCTGAAAAGCAAAACAAAAAAGCCAGTTCTGCTACCTCTTGTGACAGACAGCCTCTCCATCTGCTGTGAGGATAAAAATGTAAGCAACTGAGAAAGCAAAGACCATTGCTCATGGGAATGTCATAGAGCTTCAGGCCAGTGCAGTCTCCCTCCGTGCGGGATAGGATCTGAAGGAGAAACTAGAAAGAGGATAGCAGAAGGAAACACTGGGAATTCTGCAGTTACTTTGCACTGTAATTCAGATCCCTAGGACCTAATCTCCTGCCTTCCATAGTCCTCTATGATTACGTTTCCTCTTGTAAATATCATATATTAACCAGAGGGAGGAGGAGTGCCTTTGGTTCTCTCATAACCCCAAGCTACAAAAGTAAATAATACAGTGGACAGAGGACCCCCACCCAGCCCAAGCCCCGGTGCACTGCTCAGAGTGAGTGCTGTGCGTGTTGCAGGTGTGTTAGGTATTAGACGCTGTGTCCCATCAACGCCCTATCAGACCATAGGCTCCTCACACACAAGTAGCCGCTCAGCCACGCACACAGCAGTGAGGGAGGGCAGCCGCGCTAGTTTCCTTCTGTACCTCTAAAGGAACATCCGTAGCTCTAATGCTTTCACACAGAAATTATGAAATGGTGACTGAAAAGGATGAATCAAGGGAGTCAGACAAGAAAATGCCCCTAGAGCCAGAAGTGTGCGTGCTAGGAAGTGGCTCAGAGGCCTGGAGTAGCCAGCAAGGGGCCCCTGTCAGTTATTCACCTAGGAAGACAGGTGCTTCCTGTGCTACCTGGCTGCCCATTTCGCACACATCTTTAGTAATGGCCTTTACTAGCCCATGTGGGACTAACCTAGACGTGGACTCATAAAGTCAAGCTCCAGGTTAGTAATCTCAGGATGGCCGCTTAGCATATGCCATTAAGCATCTTTTAACACAACTTGCAGCTTTGTTATGTTTTAGTCTTCAACGACAAATGTCTGTAATGAAAAAGCATTGACTGCATTGAATTCACCTTGTTCTCTGGTAAAAAGCAATATAAATGCTATGAATCCCTACTCAAAGCCTGGCCCCCACCAGTAGCATCAGCATCACCTGGGAGCTTGTTAGAAATGCAGAATCTCAGCTCCTCCCCCAGGCTATTAAAATAGAACCTGCATTTTAAGGCGATTTCCCAGTGATTTGGATGCACACATTTGGGGAGCATTTGAGTGTACAATCAAATCACTCCGGAGCTTTAGCAATACCAACGCCTGGGTTCTCCCCCAAACACACACACACACACACACAGATTCTGATGTAATTGGTCTGGGTGCTGCATAGGGATCTCTGGGGATAGGGATCTTTGAAAACCCCAGATGATTCTAATATACAGCCAAGTTTGAGAACCACTTAGAGTTCTAAAGATTTCTTAAGCTGGTGCCTATTCTGCTCCAAAGCCAAGCTGCTATTCCCAAGCCTGCTAGATCCCCCTGTCTTGCCTGGCCCACCAGATCCCTCCCACTGTGGTGAACAAGGCAGAGTGAGTAGAAGTCGGATGCCCACTGGCATGACCTTCACCAGTGGAGAAAGCCTGGACCATAGTGGCTAGCTCCCTTTGCACCTCCTGCCCTGTGCTAACCAGAGGACAGTGACTCACTCAGCTGCCTTTCCCCCACAGAGAAACGGGAGAACGTCATGTTTGTGCTGCCTCTGCACGGGGGCCACCTGGGCTTCTTTGAGGGTTCCGTGCTGTTCCCCGAGCCCCTGACGTGGATGGATAAGCTGGTGGTGGAGTATGCCAACGCCATCTGCCAGTGGGAACGTAACAAGTCTCAGTGCTCTGACACGGAGCAGGTGGAGGCCGACCTGGAGTGAGGCCTCCCGAACTCTGGCATGTTCCAGCTGACCTCCTCTGGAACCCGCGTCCTTCACCGGCTGTTTCAGGTCTCCCATCTCCCTCAGTGACCTGGATCTGACCTCACACCATCAACGGGGGCCACCCACCAGGCACACCTGTCCTGGAGTAGGTGGCAGTCCCTGGGAGCTCCAGGCTATTTTTGTGCTTAGTTACTGGTTTTCTTCATTGCATTGTTAGCCATGGTGACAAGTGACAGGGTTCCCACCCTCCTGTCCAGCTGCAGCACCTAATTGCTTTGAAGCCAATTACTTCTAGTTTCCCTATTAAAAATGTGTCTGAACAGCAGTTTTGCTTTGCCATTCAAAAGGTCTTTCCCCAAGAACAGTGAAGGATGTACGTTATTTCATGGTGGCTGTCTGTGTCCTTATTTAGACCCTGAAAAGAGCTCACCAGTGTAGGCCACTGCTGAGGATGCAGTTCAGCTGGGAGCCTGAGGACCTGGGCCTCCCAGGCCAGAGTGTGGCCTCTTACATGGCAAAGAAAATTCCCTGGAGTCACAAACCAAGTTTCTCCCTCACTGTCTTCTAAGACGGTTTTCCCACTTTGCTGATGATGAGAGTTACCTAGGGCGCTTGTTCAAAATTCAGCCTCCACGGTGCCTCCCCTTGGAAAAGCTGATTCAGTGGGTCTGGGAAGGGGTCTGGGGATTTTAATTTTTGTCAAGTGCCCCAGGTGATTCTCATCACCAGGCAAATTTGGGAAATGCTTCTGCAGGGCCTTTAAATTAGAAACATCTCAGTGGCTCCTTTTATTGAAATTCATAGTTAGAGGTATCTCTGAGCTCCCAGGGGCCCCCAGAGCAACAAGGGCTGTCGTGAGCAGCCGCCTTGTGTGACCCCAGTGTGATGTCTCGGAAGGGGCCTGGGCTGGGAGTGAAGAGTGTGGACTCCGCCTGACTCCGCTTCTCACTGGCTGTATGACCCTGGAAAACTCCCTTGAACTTGAGTTTCTTCGCCTGTAAAATGGGGGACTTGGACCAGGTAGATTGCCGAAATACTACCAGTTCTCAAGTTCAATGACAAACTCGGTTTACTGAGGTTTGAGAGAACATCTCTCCAGCGGAGCCTGGGAGCTAGTCTCCTAGTCTGAGCATGTAGATGTCATCATTTGCCTTTTTTTCTGTCCCTCATTTGCGATAAAGAGGTGTTTTGTTTTGTTTACGCATTCAATTGTAATTTTATTTTTTTAACCCAGGTCTCTCTAACTTTGGCTTTTGATACCAAACAATTCAAAAGTTGGATCTGAGTTTGGAGAAAGATCTTTCCAACCAAAGAGGGTGTTATTTTGAAACCAGATTTTTAATTTAATAGCCTATATTTGTAGTCTCTTGGACAGATCTTTCTAAAGTGTGTCTTCTCCAATGAAAATGTCTCTCTAGGTTTCAAGTACTCCTCTTCTCCAATCTTGTGGTACTCGAATATCTAAAAACCCTGCACTTTGAAAAATCAGCAGTTGCTATCCAGAACTAAACAGAACTATGAGTGAAATTGCCTAGATACTTTTTTTAAACTGTCCCTGCTTCGTCTCTTTTGCTCCAGGACAAACAGGAATATAAATGGTGGGTCCATTTGGGTGTTTGAGGGGTAAAGGGAGCCACTTGAGGGCCTGGATGCTGACCCTCATGGCCACAGGGGTACGTGGTTTGGGCACTGGTCCAAATGACTGTGACAGTGATGTCTGTCACCTGAGGAAGTTGTTTGCTGACAATCACCAGATCATCCTAACTAATAACATAAAAAACAGCCATTGTCTCAAAAGATTGAGATTTCTGTGGTCTCAACTTTGCTTTGTTATAATTTCTCACACCAAATTCATCATTGTGACTTTTCCCCAAGTTGTTATTTTTCTAGTGCATTTCCTTTTCGTGTTCTTTTAGCACACATTGGCACTTTATAATCTACCCCTCAATTTGGAAGCAAATCCCTCTCCGCTATTGCTTTTCCCTCTACCCAATAACCACAGCTGTAATCTGGAAGAGTCATAGTCATATTTCTTCCCTTCATTTCTCAAGACTTTTTGTGAAATTAGGTAAATGAAGCAATAACTTAATGGGGTTGAATCACCATCCCAGGCAACAAGAGGCTCCTTTTCATTTGCCTTAGGCCACATCTCTTGACCTGTTCTGACAAAGCAGTGGCCAGGTACCAGCTCCGTTCAGGAGGAGAAAAGAAAGTCCTGTGGTCACACACTGGCGGGGAGGGTAGAGAGCCAGAGGCCTTGGAGCTTGGTCGGCAGGGCAGTTCTGGTGGCCGCATGGAGGAGAGTCAAGGCTTGGGGTGTAGCCTTTGTTGCCATACAACTGGAATGTACCCCACAGGAGTACGGGGGCCGTGTCCCAGCTGAAATCTTTTCAGTGTATGACTCTGAATGGCACTTACATCCCATTTTAGCTCGCATGAAATCAACTGAAGCCCTTTGTTCAAGCATCAGGCTGTCAAGCATGGAAATGAGAATGTGACTGTGGCTGTCTTACAGGAAAATTCTTGTTTGTCCCTGAATGAGAGCACAGAGGCATTGAATTTACAGAGATGCAAACTTGCCTAGTACAGAAGGGGACAGCATTTAAATGAAGGTGAGCTTTTCCCTCCTTCCAGCTTTCCTTGCTTCTCTTCCTAAAATCCTTCATTTCTGATGATAATGTGAGTGCTCTTCTTGCTGTTAAGGTTCTGTTTGGGTTAAAACAAGGCTGAATTTTCAAAGAGCATTTGAATATTATATTTTAAAATCAGATTAAGGATGTAAGTTGCATAGACTTAGACAATTCTATTGCAGGAATAATAGGTTAAAAACCAAGGAGGGAAAGCACCCACATTTCTCCTGGCTATACTCCCTGTCTCCTAAACAATTTAAAGACACTGATGAGTAACTGATCCCAGTCAAATTAGGATTATCTGCAAAGTGGTGTCAAGTTTCCTTGATTCATTTATGTTAGAAGGGAGTTCAATAGACTTGAAGAAAACCTCTTATCTTCCCTGCTGTGAGTTTGTACAGTGATTCCAGAGCAGAATGAAAGCAGAAAGCTGTTTTGTCACGATATTCTCTTAGCCTCTCAGCAGCATTTCGCACTTACAGGGAAGGCTATGACATACCATAAGAGTGGAAATACACTGAAATAGGAGTAATCCTTTCTTGACACAGTGTTATGGAACCAGGGTCCCGGAGACCTGAGTTCTTGTCCTGACTGTCTCCACTTCACCTCTTTGAGCCCTGGTTACCTCATCGTAGACCCTCTCTAAAACCACTCCATCTGTTTACACATCGCCTGCCTGAACAGCCCTCCTACAGCCCTTGCAAGTGGAAATGGATATGTCAAGCCCCCAGGCTCTTCTTGAGGGGACTTGGAGAGAGGGAGCTTCTGCATTAAGCCTTTGCTGGTGAAGACCCTTGATATTGCCCAAAGCCCTGTGCCTTTGGCTTCTCTTCAGAGTCTCCATGGTCATCTCAATATCCTTGCTGTTCTGAGGGTGGTCTTGTGACTGGGACAGGTGCTGACCTTGGAAGAGGGTGAATATCCCCATCCTTCTGTGTGACTCATGCAGAGCGTTGAGAGGGCCCAGGGCAGAAATCCTTCCTGCTCAGGCTTTCATTCTGAAACTGCAGTCTTCATTCAAGCTGAACTTTCTGGGTAGCTGAGCTGATATGCCTGGCATCTGAATGAGAGCTCTCTTTGTAACTGTGTGACTTCAGATCCATTTGCCAGCTCTGGGGAAACAATACATGTGTTCTTGTTTGTGTTTGCCAGACAAGCAGATGTCTGAGATGTGAGAGGCTTTTCTTTTCCTGTGGCATTGATTCTGAGTTAGAGCTAAAGTAAAGACCACCGAAACATCATGTTCAGTTGAAAGAACTCAGGTCTTTGTCCTTCAGGCAGTGCAGGAGAGTCGTTAGGAAGCATTTCACTGCAGTGTCTACTCACAGTATCATCTGGAATCCTTTTCTTTGCCCAGAGAGCCTTAACTTGCCTCCAGAATATCCCCTGGTATTACAACAAGAGTGTGGCATTGGAATTCCACTTCTTCTGCTGTGGAAGTTTGAAGCAAATCCACAGCAAAACTAGAGAATTTCTTCACATGGCCTGTACTCTCCTTGTTACGTTAGGCACCCCCCGACAATATGAGTGATGGACAACTGGCCAAGTGCTTCATCCTCTGATGCCTTTCTTCCTCTCGGCATCACTCTGTTGTTCAAGGCCGCTTTAGATTACTCGGATGCTTCAAAAAGCCCTGAAAATTGGTATTTAGAGGCCAAGCAATTGAGGGAAAGGTTTTCTTCTCCTCTGTTATCTAAGCAGAGGGAAGTACCCCCTCTTCATAAACGAGGATTGCTTTTGCCAAGTTGTATTTGAAGCTGAGGGAAGGGGAACTGGCCCCTGCTGGCAGAGATCACTGGAGTGCTATCCAAAACAAAAGCTGCTTCCTCTTGCCTGTGTCGCTGCTGCCACAGCTTCCGGATGCTGGGGCCCAGGCACCCTCCCAAAGTGGCCCTTGGAAGCAGGCTGCACAGAGTCCAGCTTGGCAGCCATTCTCAGACTCCCAGACAGAAGACAGGCTGCCCCTTTTGGAAGAGTCAGTCTCCCCAAGTTTTCTGAACTGTTTTTCCTAGCATGGATATAGGTAAGCTTTCATGTGTCTCTAATGAATAAGCTGAAGTTAATTTCTAAATGGTGGATTAAGTCTTTTTAACTTAGCTCCTGTCAATTAGTAATGAAATCTATAACCTACCTTCTCCCGCTTTTAGTCCCCATTAGCCAAGAAATCTACTATTGCCATAAGTTGGGGACAGTCCACTTATAGCACCTGCAGAAATACCCTTCATCTCAATGGGCATTCTCCTTCCAGACCACCCACGTTGAGCAGCCAACAGTCACTGAGAATAATTGCTGACCCCCGTGGTCCCAGTGCCAGCAACTTCCCTCCCAGGCTGTTCATGTGGGTGGCCCAAGTTCCTGGGTGTAGGAGTTAGGTTTTATTTGGTTTTGGTTTTGCCTTTTCAGTTTTCCTAAAGCACAAGACCATGTAGAACCCTGTCACCTCTCCACACCAGTACCAGATGATCTGGGTCTCTCCCACTGCCTCAGGAAGACCTTCACTGTACCTGAGCTTCTGACTTCTGCCACTGCAACTGCCTTAGTGACACCAGAGCCTGGGGGTGGGGGTGGGGAGCCAGTTTGCATCTCCCCTTTTCCTGGTTAGGCTCCTGCCAGCCATGGTCTTCTATTGGCAGATCTGCTTCCAGATTGATTTTTGAGAACCATCACTTTCACATTCCTCATTTTTGTTTGTTTTGTTTTATTTTGTTTTGTTTGGATTTTCTGAAACTTAAAATGCTGCCCTGAAAATAATGTATTTTTGACTTTGTGTTCTGAAAGCCTCCATGCTGCTGGGTTTTGCGGGGAAATACAGGATCCTTCAGCACTGAGGTGTTTAAATTTGCAACTAGCAATGCAATTTTTTCTAAATATGAGGATATTTACCTTTATTAAGAAATTATACTAAACAATGGTGTCCTTGATCATTTTATGTTCTCATAATACTTTGGTTCTATTTTGATTCTGTGTGGTGGTAAACAAAGATCATTACAAAAAAAACTGTAATTTTGTTATCTTTGATTCAATGGAATTTCTTTACTTAAAAAAATAAAAGACTAAAAATGTGGCCTGGCTCTGTGTCCTTTGTATGGTGGAGATTTTCTGTCTAAAAAGGTTCTTCCTGTGTCTTCACCAAAGCATGAGCTTGAAGGAAAATGGATGAAACACCAACTTCTCATCACGATTGATTTTTAACCCAGCCTTGCAAAGAAATACGGAAGAAATGACCAGCCCATCCTCTCTAGGCAAGAAAGCCAAGGCCTGAGATAAGTGAGATATCAACATTTTAATCACTTGCTCTGTAAGGTGAACCACGTAAACACAATGTAAGGTGAGATGTAAATGGTGGTTGCCATGCATGATTTGTATGCTTTTCTAACAGTGCGCTTTGAAAAGACTGGGTGAACATCACCTAAATTAAGATTATATTGAGTTGATTGAGTGGTGGTGGTGTTTTCTTCTCCTTTGTATCTGTCTGAATCCTAGCAAAGGGTCTCCCAGGGCCAAGCACTGGCCCAGCCAGGAGAGTTGTACCAGTCCATGCTCCCCCACCCCAAGAGTCTTGCACTCAAGAGTTTCCTTCCCTCCTTAGCCATGCAAAACCTTTGACAAGCTAGGTGGGGTGGGGAGTGTTGGTTTTGGAGGATGTGCATTAACATGACTTAAGAATGCCCAATATCAGATTTCAAAGGGCATCCCTCTAGTAAGTAAGCTTCCCCCCACTTCCTATGCCCCACAAAATAGCCAGACCATTTTGATCCATGAAAACCAAATTGTAAAAAATACTACCTATGAAAAGTACCAATGAAAGAGATTTCAGGCCCAAGGTGTTAGGTAGGTCGATGCCAGCAGCTTGCCAATGTGGTGGTGTAAGACCACCAGCACATAGCTGTGCCTTTCCTAAGGCAACTCTATAGATTTGTGCTTGGTGACATTTACCTACAATCACTTGCTGTCCCAATGGTGCCAATATATTTTCTATTACACCTTTCATCAACAGGCCCCTGGGCTCTAACCCTATAGGGAGTACTTTCCCATGGCGAGGACCAAACTCCTAACTGGATGGCCCTCCATATGTACAACAGCCTCCCTCCTCATTTCTTTCCTGGGATCCCCCTTAGAGGAGATTACACAAATGTGCCAGCCCAGGATCTGAGTGGTTAGGAAGACATTACAGGCAGTCTCACTTTGAACCTCTCCTCAAAGGGGATAAGTTACACCCTTCTCTCCTGTGGCTATGTGCCATCCAGAACTTTCTTTTGATTCATGCTGTCTACCCCATTTGGAAGTACACCAGCATCTCTACTGAAGACTGTTTGGTTTCCTCTTAAAGTTATTTCCTCCTTTTCTCTGATGATGGTTGGTGAAACTGACCTGGAGTAAATGAAGTTCTGATTTCATTGTTCCTTTTCCCCTCCTCTCTACACTTCTCTGATACCCAGAAATGAACATTTGATGCAAAGTACACCAGAAATGAACATTTGATGCAAAGTACAAGCAGTAACAAAGCCAAAGGGATTTGGAGCCAGAGTTGCTGGGTTAGGGTCCCATCCTAGCCACTTACTAGCTCTTTGACTCTGAGCAGGATTTAACCTCAGGTTTTTGTTTGTTCATTTGTTTTTTACCTATATGATGGGAATAATTATAATAAGAATGCCTACATCTGGATATTGAGAGGATCAAATAAAATAATATTTTTCAAAGTGCTAGTGTTATTTGGGGCAGTAGTTTTGGCATTGTCTATTTGGTTCCGGCTCATAAATCACCTTCTGGGACAGCGTAGAAACCAGAAGAAAAGAGTTATGCGGTGGTGCAGCTCCAGCCGGGGATGTCTAACTGCTGGGCCCAAAGAGAAAGCAGAGATGGGCCTGGATATGTTTTCAAAAACATTCCTGGGCTTGGAAGTGCTGACCAGCCACATGTGTGCATCATCAAACCCTGATCCCCATCTTTTCCTTCCTTGATATGGTCACCTTGAGAAATCAAGGGGTACCCACGGACACATTTCCTGCCTGAAGGCAGGGCTGCTTCTGGGCACAGCCCCCAGGGAGGAAATTGCTCTAATTCTGGAACAGGTAGCTGGCATCAGCTGCTGCCTGCCCACATGGGCTTCTGCAGTCCTGCTTCTCTGTCCTCTTTGCTCACGAAGAGCCAAATGCAGAGTTTGCCTTTAAATCCTTAGCTATTAAAACTTGCTAAAGTGGGTTCCTCCGTATCCTCACCTCCATATGTCAACACACAAGATTTAGAGCAATGCACATTTGAGCCACCTGGAGAGCTTGGAAAGCTCTTGATGCCCAGGCCACACACAGCCCAAGAACATCAGACTCTCTGGGGGTGGGGTCAAGGCCTCAGTAGTTTTAAAGCTCCCCAGGGGATCCCAGCCTGCAGGGAGGTTGCAAACCACTGCTTTACTGTACGATCCCCAGGGAATTCTATTAAAATGCAGATCTAAGGTGGGGCCTAAGATTCTGCTTTGCTGGCAAGCTCCCAAGTGGGGCAGACGCCTCCCTCCCTGGACCACACTGAGTAGTGAGGCTCCTGGGGATCCTGTGAGCTTCCAGACCCAGCACTGCTGAGTTTCCTCAACACCAGAGCCATGCCTGCCACAGAAAGTGAGATAAAAGATGGTCCAATTTACCGCTTAAGTGACTCTTCAGCTCTTTTCCTGGCTGGCTGAAAACCCAGGCATCCCTCTTCCGTGAAGACTTTGCCAGGCAACCAGGCAGCATTAGGTAAATTCGGCTCCTCGGGCGTCCCTTAGGTAAACTCAAGGCTCTGAGCAGTGGCCAATCTTGTTGAGAGGCTCCCTGAAGCTAGCGGCCCATTTCCCTGCTGAGACCTCCGTCCACACCTTAACAAATTGCCTCCACCTGCTAACAGACAATATTCCCCACAGGTCCACATGAGGATGGCAGAAAAGTATCATGGTGACTTCCAACTCTTGCCCTGTTCAAATTGCTTTTATGTGACAGAATCCCTGCCTCATCCTAGATGTTTCCAGAAAGGAAGCAAATTCTTGTTATAAAATTCATGTTTTGTTGTCCCCTTTCCCACATTTGGTGGCTTTCCGAAGGGTATTTTATTGTCGCTCTTCCTCTGTCTCATTAATGTGGGAGTGGTGGCCACTTTAGGAATCCAGCATGTAGGCAGCTGGGATTTTGTGAGGCTGAGCACATCAGATTGTAACATTCCTGGTCTTCAGCCATGTTCTCCCAATGGCGGCACCACCATCCTGGGCAAGGTCTGGCCCAGCTGGTCTCTGTGCACGGAGGGGCAGCGCCAGGGCAAAGCCAGCAGAGGGCGGTGCTAGCCCATAGTCAGAGTCCACTCACTGGGTCCCAACCCTAGAGCTCCCTCCTCAGAAAGCCCCTGGGCTTTCTCATCAAACCCCGACCCTAAGCTAAGGCCCTAGCTCTGCTGACTTTAGGGGGGACCCCAGCATCCCATTTGGGTTTGACTAAGAGCCAAAGCTGCCCCAAGAGGCTCCTGGTCAGCATCGGCCTGCAGCTTTCTCCACATCCTAATCTCATTGATAAATTAGAGCTCCCACAAATCAGAAGGTGGGCCTGGGCTGGTCCAGGAGGGGTCATGGCAATCAAGGGCGGGGGGGAAAGATGGGAGTCAACCAAGAGGGATCAGCCACTGTTTCCCTCAGATTTGGGGCACAATTCTTTTGAAAAACAATTAGAAGTGTATCTTGAAAGCTTAAAAAATGCTCATTCCTTTAATTTCTTTAACTCAGCTTCATTCTTGTCCCCACTCTACCAGCACCTCTACTCTGGGGTCACCAGTGCCCCTCATCTTGGCAAATGCGAATCTCCATTGTCTTATCACTTCACCTCTCAGCACCACTGGACAGGGTCATTCACGCACTCATAATGGAAATACTTTCTTAGCTTCAGATGTTCTGGGAGATCCCTCGGGGTGACGCTGCCGAGCCCCCTCAACCAGAGCAGCTTCACTCTTTTTAGGCTTAAATACTAGAGTTCCACATAAGATCTGATTTGGAAAAGGGGAGCCTCAACTTTTAAAAGGTTTGAAGAAGAGTTTCGGGAAAATTCTCACTGGTCAGCCTCCCACCCTTCCACCCACAATAATTTGCTGTGATTCCTCCTCCAGCTCAGACATCCTATGTAAATATCATTTATGACCATGGATTGTTGACTGTGAACATTATAAATAACGTAGTTACTTGGGTGATGAGCACACACTACAAACCCTAGCAATGAAAGAAAGGATGTAAGAAATAAATGCATATATATATGTACATTCACATATACACGTACATGTACCTAGCCGTACTGGAAAACAAGAAAGAGGACTCCCAGTGGATCACAGAAATTCCTGGAGTGAAAGCAGCTGGGACTAGATTGAACCCATAGCCCAGGAAGCAGCTGAAGGTCCTGCCCCAAAAGGTGGGTGCAGCACCAAGGGTGCTTCACATCCAGGGGATGACCCCCCAGGCAAGAGCAGAGAAGTCTTGGGATGATTACTGGGGTACCTCAGTGGGAGCAGCCAGGTCAGTTGACCCTCACCCACCACCACTAGCCAGACAACAGGAAGAAGTGTCTCCCTCCAGGTGGGAAAGTCAGTGTAGAGTCTTAGGAGAAGTATCTGCCAATGCCTGGGAGCCCCATGCCCAGAAGAAGCCAGCCCTTCCCCAAGAGGGAGTGGCGTGCTCAGCATACAGAAGCCTCTAACAGGGAGTCTCACCAACAAAAATAAGCAGACACTCAAAAATCACCAAACACTCGAGGAAAGCCAATTCCACAGAAGGAAAGCATTTGCATTCATCAAAATATGCAGAGCTGGAAAGTAGAAGTTCATGACTGTAAAGTGCCTGAGACTGAAGACAAAGAGCTTTCACTGCATAACTTGAGGACTGGGAGTGCTCAAAGAAGACAGCATCTGTAAATCTAAGTAAAACCATCTTTGAGGCCAGGGGTCTGGAGGAGAGAGCTTTTGATGGAGAGACTCTACAGACAGGAGGGGGACACAACTGCCACCTGGAAGGAGGTGCAAGCTCCTGACCATCACTGCACATGCACACATCAGAGTGCACCTGACTGAGGGACCAGGCCACCCCAAAATGGAGCCTTGTCAAGGCTGCTTCCACCCTGGAATTCTCCATGGAAAACCCCTCCCCTGTCTACCGGCTGCCAAGATTGCTGTGCTTGCCAGATCATTTGCACTTATACCCCCTCTCTTTTATCCTTTCATTGTATTTTTTTTTTGGCCAGGGAAGAGACTGTTAAACAGCCTCCCTACCTGTTTTCACAGACCCTAAGTAGCAAAACTGTTACAAAGGAAATCATTGAGAAGCTTAATTAGAGTCTTTGAAACTCAACCCTACACAAGTTACTATCCTAAAGCTTCAGAAGCAATAGGAATATAACTGCCCCCAATTCTTCTCATTCAAGGGAATTCCCCCTGCTTTATTGTCCCCCAACTCGGGAGGAGGGTGACACCTGAGCTCACCCAAGCTTAGGGAGGTTCAGGGGAATCACAGTCACCCCAGGTAGCCCTTTCCCCAGTCTTCTGGGTCCAGAGCAGCTGAGGAGAGGCCCGGGGATGCTAACTACAGGTCAGATGGCAGCAGACATCCTCAGAAGGCTGTGTTCTCAGCTTGGGCCCGGGGGCCAAAGAGCTGCTCAGCCACAATCTTGCCATCATACTTGGGTAGTGTGCCCCCAAAGTCAGCAGGTAGGATGTCCTCGTCGATCTCCTGGAAGAAGCTGGAGAGGTCATCTCCGTGGACATAGACCTGTAGGGAAGCAGGGAGCCAGAGCTGAGCAGGGAGTGCCCTAGGATGAGAGATGAAGGGGAGGAGAGGGACAGGAAGACAAAGGCACAGTATGCCATCTCTGTCCTTCTCCATGGTGCTCCATGTTGTGCTGTCTGTGGGATCCACTCAGATCACGACCATGGCACAGAGTCTAGGGAGGGTTCAGGTGGGGTCCCCTCTCCCCCTACCCTCCCCCGTCTTGTCTCATGAACCCTTTCCTGCTACAGCCCCCATTCACTCACTCACTCACCAGACGTTCAACGATTTGAGCACCTTCCCTGTGCAGGCCACGCACTCACCCTCTGGAGGAGCTTGCTCTTCAAGAAGGGCTTGACCATGTTGTAGGTCGTGGTAAAGTACCATGGTTGGTGGATGAAGTGGATGGCTTTGAACCGGGCTGGGAAGGAATCCTGCAGTGACAGAGAGCACCCCACAACACACCCCCAATAGCCTCAGAGGCTCCCACTCACTCCCCCACTGCCTTTCCCCATGGCACAAGGACAGACTTGTCTTATCACACAGTGGCCCCAGAGGACAGCTCACTGAAAGTTCCATCCCTGGGCCAGCAACTGGGGAGCCCCAGCTTCACTGCAGCTCCAAACTGCAGGGAGGAAGCCCCGGAAGCCATACGGCCCAACCCTCTCCCTGCTGATGCATAAAACCTGGCAATTGGGTAGAATAAAGAAATGAAAAGGTAGCCTTGCTTGGTGTTTAGGTGACTGAGTTCTTTCAAACTCTGCCTGCTGAGTGGACTGCAAACTATTATAGACCACAGGGACATTCTGTGATGCCTCATTGTTCTTCAAACCCTCCCACGACCCCCACCTCCTTTCCCAGATACACATAAAGTAGATTTAAAGAGAGCCCTAAGAAAGGACTAATGACACATCAGTATATATAGGAGCCAGTTGTTAGGGGCGTCAGTGATATCCCTTTCTCAAGAGAAATCCACATTCAAAGAGAGGCAGTGTGACATATGTGGACAGAGAATGGGATTCCAGATCAGAAAGTGTAGGCTCAAGTCTGGCCTCTGCCATTTTAGAGTTTTGTGACCTTGAGAAGTCACTCAAATCTCAGCCTGGGTTTCCAGGTTTGTAAAATGAAGCAGGAAAGCAGGAAGAGAATGCTCTCAAGGAGCAAATGAATTAATGGATGTGAATACTTGACACAGTGTTGATCACCATGCAAGTGTTGGTGGTTGTCACTGCTCTTTATGGTTATTTTCTTGGGATAAATGACTAGGTAGTCATCTTCTCAGGTCCCTGCTAGCACTATTAAACCAGGAAACCAGGCCCAGCCTCCCAACCTCCCAACATGTCAGAGGCTCCTGCAAGACAGAATTCTGAGACCTCACCTGGAGCATGTCCACCATCTTCCTGAGATCGGAAGCCCGAAGCCCGGCAGCCTGCTGCATGGTAAAGCCCTTGAAGTTCTCAATGATGCAGAAGCCATTAATTTGAGTTTCCTCATTCTCCAGGAGCTTCTCCAGGATGAAACAATACGCCTGCAAGATCTTGGGCACAACGTGAACAGGATGTAAGATCCATCCCACAAAGATACTTAAGGTTCAAGGTCCTGAGGGGAGAGCTATCTGGTACATCCTCTCCTGGAGGTAATTTGTCATAGGCTTTGGGTTGGGACATTTCACCTCTGTGAATGTATCCCAAGAAAATAACCTTGAACGTCCTATCTATGGTTAGATGCTTGAGTGTTTGTCCCTGTATCGTCATAATAGCAAAAACATTGGAAACAACCTAAATGTCCAACAATAAGGGACTGGTGAAATTATGGTACATTCATGCCACGGAATATTCTGGAGCAGTTAAAAATAATATATAAGACTAATGATATAAGAAAATGTTCATTCATGGTATATTATTATAGAGCATGATCCCATTTTTATAAGAAAAAATATGTGTATGTGTGCATGTGTGTGTTTCTAGAAAAAATAGATTGGAAGGATGTCAATGGTAGAAATCTCTGGGTGGTAGAATTGGGGATGATTTTACGTTTATGATTTTTTTAATATTTTCTAATGAGTAGATATCACTTATGTAATAAGAAATATGTAATAAGAAAAATATTTTTAAGTCTGTTCCTGAATATATATACGTGCACACACACATACACACACACACACACACACACATATGCCTCAGTTGTAAAGCCAGGATCTTATTCAGTGGAAAACACTCTAGGCATTCCTTGTAAGAGCAGGAAAAAGATAAGGATGTTCACTCTCTCTACCACCATTTAACTCTGTGTTGGAAATATTAGCCAATGCAATCGAGTTAAAAATAAAAAATCAGGGGCATAAGAAGTAGAAAAGGAAAAGAAAAACTATTTCCTCTATTGACAATACTACGATAGTATTCTTGGAAAACCCAAGAGAATCAATCATATAAATAAGAAAAGAATTCAGTAAAATATCAGGATATAAAATTAACATACAAAAACAATAATCTTCATAATTACAAACAATAACCAATTAGAAGATATAATGGCAGACAAAGCCTCACTTAGAGAAACTACAATAAAATAAATACTTAAGACAAACTTCATGAGAAATGTGCATAAGGTTTGTGAGGAAAACTTTAAAACACTCCTGACAGCTCAGAAGTAGGCTCCTAAAAGGGAAGGCATCGCATCTTGTGAATGGTACAACCGGCCATGGATACTGCATTCATAAAGATGCTAATTCTCCTCAAGTTTGTTATTTACATTTAATGTTATCCCAATAAAAATATTCCTCATGTTTCTCCTGGGGCCAGACGAGTTAATTCTAAAGTTCATAGGGGAAGGTAAACATGTAAGAATAGCTAGAAAAGTCCTGAAAAAGAGGAACAATAAGGACAGAAGTAACCCTAACAGACATTAAACATTCTAGATAATCCCTAAAATAAAAACCTTGGGGTATTGGAGCATGAATAGACCAAAACCGATGGCACAGAATAGAAAGTCCAGAAATAGACCCAAGTACACAAGAAAATATACAATGTGATAAAGATGGCATCTCAAGTCATTGGGAAAAAGGACTTTTAAATAAATGGTGTTAGGACAACTAGACAGCATTTTCTAAAATGAATTTCTACTATTTTTTTTTAAGGCTTGGTGGCACATGCCAAAGTTCTCACAAGACAAACCCTAATTCCCCCGCTTAGGGCAGCTCTCTCAAGGGCTTGACAAGCAAAATCCGTATATATAAATGCAAAGAACTCAGGCTGCTAAACAGGCTGGAACCTGTACTTTCCAGAATCTCTCCCAGCCCACAGTCCACTAATCCCTGTTCTCTGTGTTGCTCTCGGCTTTTGGCATTTGGCAGGGCTGACCCCAGATGGCAGCCCACAGCTGTCACTCCAGCTTGGCAGGGATACCAGGGGGCAGCCATGTATTGGCCAGTGGGCAACGCCTGCAAAGCTTATGGGTTTTCCAGCAGCCCTGGCACATCCTAGGAATTCTCCCCTTGCCTGGAAAGGGCTTGATGGCATTGGCTGCCTCCTCCCCCAACCCCCCTCCACAGACCTCGCCTCCTGGGGAGCCAGGGGTGAGGGTCCAATATAGGCCAAGACCCCGGGGGAGGGAATCCAGCCCAGAGGGTGGGAGGGAGCCAAGCGAGCCCTTGCTGACCTCGTCGAAGGTGATTTCTTCACAGTCCCAGTTCTCAATGTTGAAAAGCATGACCACTCGGCCATACTTGTCCCGACTGGACAGGACACCAGGGTAGCCAGCCTCGATGGTGCAGCGCACAGCCTCCGGGGACAGTCTGTCGAAGAGCTCTGGGTACTGCAGCCGGAAGTTCACGTAGCCTGGCGGAGGGAGAACAGAGGAGCCCCCTCAGGGAGCTCGCCCATCCTGGGGTGGCACACAGTGGGAGTCCAGAGACCTGGGCTCCTGCCTGGTTCCTCCTGCGTGTGACTGAGCAGAATACCCCCCCCTTCTGAGCCCCATGTTTTCTCTCCAAAAAACGGGAGGATAATATTGGTCTATCTCACCAAATTGTTGCAGTAATCAAACAAGATTCTAGGTATGAACATTATTTGTAAACTGTACAAAATGAGGTGTAATCCTAAATCCAAGGACAATTATTCCTTCTTTTCTCTTTCCCATGAGCAGAGGCACAGGTTTTTCAGTTCGGCACAGGGTTAGCTGAGTGAAGGAGGGGAGAAAACCCCCAAATAAAATCCAAACCGTGGGCAGGACACAGGGGCCCTTCCTGATTCCAGCTGCACTTCTATCTCATCCGTCCTGATCAGGCCCCTGCCTCTCTGTGGTCGTCTCCATCACCAAACCTGGAGGAGCCAGGCCCAGAGGAGGTGTTTGGGGAGCACCTGCCAAGGGAATGCCAGACCTCCTTGCTGCTCTGCAGCACTCCCCACACTGTCACCCCCTAGACTTGTCCTCCCTGCTCCCTCTGCTGACTGCTCTTCCCCAGATATCTATCTCATTTCCTTCAGGTTTTTCTTCAAAAATTCCCTTTACACCGGGACCTTCCTGGCCACTATACCTAAAACTTCAACCCCTTAATCCTTTATATCTGCCCCCTTTATTTTTCTTGTTATCCCTTCTTACTATCGAACAGTCTATATATGTCCACTTTATTTGTCTGGTTTATTATTTCCACCATTAGAATAGAAGGTCCACAAGGGCAGGCCGCTCTCGTCTGCTTTGTTCTCCGCTGCATCCTTTGGCCTCAAGCAGTGGTTGGCACAGCACGGCAGGGAACTGACATTTGGGGAAGGAAGGAAGAAGGAGGAAAAGGAGAATCTTTTTCAGAGGGCCTGCTCAGACACCCGCTCCCTCCACCAGCACCAAGCACTGGATTTCCTTAGGAAACCTGTCTTCCTTCAGCCAGCCAGCAGGGCCAGGGCCGTTCTGTTCTCCGGCTCCTTCCCAGGGCTGGCGCCATCTTCAATTCCACTCTGCATAGGTTTAGGTCCCTGCGGGAGTCAGGCGGCTACCCACCTTCCCCGCAGCACTCCCGAGCCAGAGCCTGGGCTCTGAGGGGTGTGTGGGGGTGGTAGTTGGTGGGGAAAATCCTCCTCTCCTTGGGCACCCAATTTGGGTGACTCAGTTCTACTCATTACATCCCAAAACTGGAAGAGAGGAGCAAGGAGCCAGATCTCTAGGCATCTGGTCCCCGCCAGGCTCACTCATTCATCGTCTGAGCGGAAAAGGATCTCGGAGGCTATTTAGTTCACACACGCATTGTACGGATACCGGTAAGGAGGCTCAGAGACAGGGACTTGCGCAGGGCAGGGAACAGGAGGGAAGTGGAGGGGTCGGTTTCCTCAGCGCTTGGGTGAGGGTCAACAGCATCCTCATGACCCCCCCCACCCCAGCCTTCCCAGGGCCGTCCCTCCACCGTGGGCCTCACCCTTGAGCAGCTCATAGGCTCGCCCCACATCGAACTTCCGTGCGCGGATGAAGCGCAGGAAGAAGGCGGTGTCCCTTCCCTGCACCCTCTCGGCCACCGCGCGGGCCAGCTCCTGCCCAGAGGCCGCTTGCGCCTGCACCAGCTCCTGCAGCTCTCGCACCACCTCCTCCCGAGTCTCCTCCGTCTCATTCAGCTCGTCCTTGGCCTGAAACAAGGGTGTGGTGGAGACGCGAAGTCACAGGTGGGCGCCGAGCAGGACACACGCCGTGAGTCTCCTACTGGGGCCAGACCGGCTGAAGGGCGGAGGGGCCGCATTTGCACTGGCAGCGCCTCAGGCTGCCACTTTCTCCATTTGGAGAAAATTAGGTGAAACTGCTCATCCTGGGTTTGTTTGTAGGAGACCGACAGAGGTCTAAATGTTTCTAATGGTAACAGCCTGCATTTACTAGAGCCCTTCCTTAGCACCCTGCTAAGTCCTTTAAATACATTATGTTTTTAAGTCTTTGCCAGACCCCGTCACAATAAGGTTGGTATTCTCATCCCCATTTCTCAGGATGAGTGCACTGAGGCTCATAGAGGTGAAGAGATTCATTCAGGTCACCCAGACAGAAAGGGGTGGAGCTGGGACTTCTGCTCAGGCTGGACTTTTAATCATTTCACTCTGCTGCTTCCTAGGCTTAATTCCAATCTTTTCAAAAACAAAGATACCCAGCAGATGGCAGCTTGCCCCCTGCCCCAGAGCCTCACATTCCTCCCCTTGGCTGGGCCTGGAGAAATCCCCAGCATGCCTCAGGTAGCTCTCTCCTTGCACAGCATGCGGGGGGGAAGGCATGGGGTGGTCAGGTCTGAGGGAACCCAGAGCACCTTTCCCTTTGCTTCCCAGGGAAGCAAAGACGGAAGCCAGGAGCCCAGGCTCAGCTCAGCCCCAAGACAGCTCTGCCAACCTCCACAGAGCACAGTCTGATAATCTCTGAGCTGGTCCAACAACCTTCTTTCATAGGTACAAAATGCAAGACCCAGAGAGGGAAAGCAATTTGCTCAAGTTCACACAGCAAGTTGGAAGTAGGCCTGATTCTAGAACTCAGGCCTCTTGCCTATCTAGTGGGGGCAGTTGGATCCCCGTTCCCCAGGGCCACTTGCAAACCAATGTTCCTCACATACGAGTCTAGGATGATCCCTGGTCCAGAGGCCCTAGGTCCTGGCACTAGTTTCAGGGAACCTTGTTGGTGCTGTAGTCTTGGATTTAGGCTGGCTTGGATGTCTGGTCAGCCCAGTTGCTGCTATGGCCTTGACCTCCAAGATGGCCCCTAGAACAGGCCAGTCCATTAGGTCCAGGATGACCTGGAGAGCTGGGGTGGGACTCTTTCTACAGGAGAGAGGATGCTATCAACATGCCCCCCTTGTTGCCTCCCTAGCCTGCCCCTCCCAGCACCCTGGGCCTCCTCACCTTCTGCAAGGTATGGCGGGGTAGCTCACTGCACCGGCCAAAGACAGGCCCATGGTCCTTGGTTGTAAGCCGCTCCAGCTGGGCACGGAGCTCCTGTTCCTCCTCAGGGACCATGCGGAACGTGCCCGCCTAGGCAGAGAGGAGTCAGGAAAAAGCAGGAACAGGCCCCCATCAGCCCAAGTGAGCCAGTCAAAAGGGCCTGCTCAGACTCTAAACTAGTGCTTTTGCCCAAGGTCACTGTTAAACCTCTTCCCTTTGGGTGGGATCAGGAGCCACAGAGAGACTGTAGGAGTGAGTACCCACATCCCTGGGCAGACCAGACAATGGAGAAACAGAGAGGGAGAGAGGGAAGGAGGGCAGATGGATGGAGGGGAGCCCCAGGGCAGAGGGGTACTCACCCCCTCTGACATGCTGCCTCTGGAAGACTCAGAGTCCTCAGAAAAAGACGAGCCCTGCTTCCTCCTCCTGGTGTCTCCAGGCACCCTCCTCCCTAGGAGAGGAAGTCAGGGCCACAGTGGTCTGGAGGAACTGTTCTGTTATTGTCTCAGAACAACGGACCTCAAACCTTCTAGTGCATCAGAATCACCTAGGGCATTTGTTAGAAATGCAGATGCCTGGCCCCTGCACCCTGTGATTCTGACTCAGGAAGTCTGAACTGGGGCCCAGGAATCTGCACTTTAAAGCAGCACCCTAGGTGGCTCTAAAGGTCATTCTTGGACTACACTTTGGGAAACACGCCTTTGAGAAGGAATACACACAAAAATACCTCAAACCTCAATTCTTAAGATGAGTTGGCCAGCCAGGAAAAAACTAATTTTGGCCTCCAATCTGTTACTTGGTCATTGCAGGATAAAGCAATCCCCTCTCCGTCTGTGGCCCTCCTTCTCCAGCCCAAAGGGGGCCCTCAGAAGCTTCCCAGCCTAGTGGATGGCCCCATCCCCAGTGCATTTGTTCTCAAGAGGGGTGATGACTCGTTACATAAACATAATACTGGGTGGGTGTTCTGTGCTTTGTGATGCACTAAGTATTTTCAAATCCATTATCTCAGAGCCAGGGCTGGTGTATTATTCCCATTTTACAAAGGAGGAAACAGGCCCGGGACAATAAGTGAATTGAACAAGGTCACACAGCCAGAAATAGCCAGGGATCGGGACTCAAGCCCAAGCTGTGACTTTCGGTTGGCACCGAGAGGCAGCCTGTTGTGGCAAAAGTCAGACCTGGGTTCTGAGTCTTTGTCGTCCCCTGTAAAAGGGAGATGGGAGGGCTATGATGAAGATTTAATTAAATACTGTAGGCAGAAGCGGTGCTTGGCCACCAGAATGAATCTCATCGATTGCCCACATGACAACCTGCTCACCACTGAGTATTTTGGAAGACAGCTCTTCTGTTTCCAGATTTTCTCCTCTCCCATCTAAACATCCCCAGTGCCTTCAAGGACCCCCATCCCCACCCTGCTCCTGCCTCTGACCAGGTTCCCAGTGGTCAGTTCTGTCACCTCTTCACTGTTGGTAAGTGGTAGAGTTGGGATTTGAACCTATGCCTGCCTGACACCAAGACTGCTTTGACACCTAGAACCAAGACATCTCCAGGCAAACTCCCGAGGAGAGCTGGTGTCCTGGAAAACCCTTTAGGGTCAGAGAGACCTGGGTTTGAATCAGACTTTGTCATTTACCACCTGTGTGACCTTAAGCAAGTTATTTAAGCTTTCTGAGCCTCAGTTTCCTCATCTGCAAATTGGGAATAATAATCATACCCACCAAATAGAGTTGTAATGAAGATCATATAATTTCTGTAAGGTACATAGCACAGTGTTTTGCTCTAAAACATAGTTTCCCTTCCCTTTCTTAGCGTTATGCTGATCACTATCCCAACTTGCACAGAGAAACTTGGAGGATCCCAGGGAATATCTGAGGATTCCTATTTCCTGTCTTTCCCATTCCACAGCCCCAGCCAGGGCAGGGAAGTTCTAGGGGCTGTAATCCACCAACAGGAACCAAATCTAAGCCATCTTTCTGGCAGGTAGACTTCCAACTATGCAGACAGAGACAGACTGACTGACATGCCGCTGCACTCTCATTTGGGTTTTGCTGGGACAGGAATGGAGAAGCTGATAGAACTGCCCTGAGGAGCTCAGACAGGGGAGGTAGTGGCTGGACCCCCCTCTCCAGTTAAGCAGATCATCAGGACAAGATCTAGATCTTAGAAATGGAGGGGTAAAGTCACTACAGCAACTCCTTTTTAAATATGCCCAATCTATTAACTTTGTTTTTTTTTTTTTTTTTTTTTGCTGAGGAAGATTAGCCCTGAGCTAACATCTGTCCAATCTTCCTCTATTTTGTATGGGGGTCGCCCTACAACATGATTGATGAGTGGTGTATGTCCACGCCCAGGGATCCAAACCCGCGAACCTGGGCCACTAGAGTGGAGCGTGCCAAACTTAACCACCATGCCACAGGGCTGGCCCCTGATTTTTTTAAAATACTGATTTCTGAGCTGTATACAATGAAAAAATACCCACCCCTCACTCCACATCGAAGCTGTTCCCTGCCAGGTAGTGTTACCAGATAAAATACAAAATGCCCAATTACATGTGAATTTCAGAGGAACAACAAACACTTTAGAAGTATAAGTATGTCCCCTGCAATTATTGGGATATACTTATACTAAAAAAGTATTTGTTGGTTCATCTGAAATTCATATTTAACTGGGTGTCCTGTATTTTTATTTGCTAAATCTGCCATGAGGTTGGTCTGGCTCAACCTGGAGAATGGCCAGTTGGTTTGTTTTACAGGCAGCCTGGGATGTGGTCTCACCACCCCTGGCCTCCTCACCCCAGTCCTGGGCTCCCTGGCCCAGTCAGGCCCCTGCTACTGACTTACCTGCTCAGTTGGCAGCTCCTCCTTGGGCCACCTGGAGCCTGCGTCCTTGGGAAGCGAGAGCCAGGAGGTTGCCTCTGCTGGGGGTGCGGTCCAGTCAGCAGGCTGGGATTAGTGTGTCACAAGGAACTTCTCATGGCCCACAGTTTCCCGTTAAATCAGGCTCACAGGGAGGCCCAGATTGGGGCAAGCGAAGCACCGGAGGGGAGAGGGGATTGGCCTGGGCCTGGCTGGAGCCACCTCAAAGCCCTCCTTTGTGTGCGTCTGCTCCCAAGTTCCTGCTCATCCATGTGGAAGCCAGGCTGTGGGAGTGGGATCTGGGCCAGCCCCATCCCCTCCTCCCTGCCCTCCCTCTCATCGCACGGGGTCTGAGAAAGCACACCTTACACTTGCAAGTAAGATGTGCAAGAGGTAGAGGGACATTTTCAATGTGAATGGGGATGCAATGGTAGCTGTGATGATCCAGGCCTATCACCATCTCCCTCCGCCCAGCAGGGCCTGGCGTGGTAGTTGTCAGCTCCACAGTGAGTGGAGCCAGTTGGGAAATGTAGCTGGTTAAGCTGAGTGGGGAGAGGACAAGACAGGCCGACCTGCCTTCTAGGCAGTATGGTGCAGTGATAGGAGCCTCCTCTGGAACCAGATGCCCACTTTGAAATCGTAGCTCAAGCACCTTCTAGCTATGAGAAGTGACTTCACTCCTCAGTGACTCAGTTTCCTCCTCTGAGAAGTGGGGATAATAGAGGACAGGCTCATGGCTTTAGTGAGGATGAAACGGCAGTCAAGGGCTTCGCTCAGTGCCTGACCCTCAGTAAATGTAAATGCGCAGTAAATGCTGGCAGTTACTCCAAATACAGAATCAGTAGGATCTGGGTGGAGCAGACTCATATGATCCAACTCTCTGTACAGCAAGAAACCCCTCTGCAGCCCATCAACAGGTGGCTTCCCAGTCTCTGCTTTGGTATTCCACTGGGGGGCGGGGGTGATTATTTAGAATATTCTCTCTCCAGGATTCCAAGGGCAGGGAGCTCCCCGTTTCCACTACTGGACAATCCTCCTTGTTTTAAAACTAATCCTTGGTCTGAGCCCCAGGCAGTCTTCTATAATGTCACCCTCAGTCCTGGTTTTGCCTCCTGGAGGTGTCTGGGGCAGGGTCAAGCTCCTGTGCTCAGGACATTCTCCAGAATCTGTCCCCAGAAATGCTTTTTGGTTTTCCCCAGAAATAGTTCTTGTTTTTCAACCCATTCCTACTTGGGGATAGGTCTGGGATCTCTTCACCCTCCTGTGCTCTCTCCAGAGACCCTGGGCCTTGTGAGAGTGTCCCTAGAGGGCAGTGCCCTGGGACCAGCACCTGACCCCCCGCCTCTCCAGACCCCTTCCTCCAGAGCAGTCTGCAATGCCTGGGGCTCGGATGTTGGGGTGCAGCAAGGTAACTTCAAGCCCTTTGCTTCCAACAGCCCCTTCCCTGAACTCCTGCTCTGGTTGCTGCTGGCTCTTGGGCTGTTTCCCTCCCAAGTCCTCTCTGGAGCTGGGGAACCCTTCATTTCCATCATTTTGCTCCCTGGAAGTCTAGTCCTGTGCTGTCCAATACAGAAGCCACTTGCCATATGTAGCTTTTTAGCACTTGAAATGGGCTAATGTGACCAAAGAACTGAAATGTAAATTTTAATTAACTTAAATTCAGATTTAAAAACTGATACTGGATTCAGTTATTGGAAAACTTTTAAGTATGTTGGGAACAAGTTAGTGTGTGATTTTACTTTTTCAACAAAATAGATTGAATAGATAGAATTCAACAAAATTCAACAAAATTACAAAATAGATTTTGTAATAAAATATTTCTGATAAAAATGTCAAGTCCAAAGTGAGATGTGCTGTGTATATAAAACACCTACTGGATTTTGAAAACTTAGTACAAAGAAAAGAGTGTAAGATTTCTCATTAATCATTTTTATAAGGCTTGATGTTCTGAAATGATAATGTTTTGGATATATTGGGTTCAAAATATATTAGAGTTAATTTCACTTGTTTCTTTTTACTTTTTTTGACGTAGTTATTAGAAAATTAAAAATTTTCTAGTTTTAATTTAACAGCTCCCATTATATTTCTAATGGACAGTGCTGGTCTAAACCTTGCCACCCCTCGAAGTGTGGCCCGCAGACTAAGAGCATCAGCATCTTCTGGGAGCTTGTTAGAAATGCAGAGTCTCAGGCCCTTCCATGGACAGGCTAAATGAGAATCTGCATTTTTAACAAGGAACCCAAGTGATTCCTGTGCACATAAAAGTTTGAAAAACACTGCCCTAGAGAGCTTCTGGCCCTCTCCCCCTCCTGCCTGTGCCCAGCACAGTATGTTACCTGGCCTCTCACTTGCCATCAGCCCTGAGGATTGGTGGGGAAGTAGATCAAGGACTGCCCTTGCCCACCATCTTCTTCTTCTTTGGGGCAAGGCAGTGGTGGCCCACTTAGGGGTGGAGGCAGCAGAGAAAGGAGGACAGAGAGGGAGGGTCTCCTGCCCTGATTCTAGTCCTGGCCCTGCTTACTACAAGCCGTGGTCCTCTCTGCGGGCCAGCACGGTGGCATTGACCTGGATGGCCTCCTCTACAGCCGGCTGCCGGCTCAGCTCCTCCTCCCCGTGGAGCAGCACCACCGTGAGGTCAGCACGGGGCGCC